CATTGATAATAACAATAATAATAGTAATGATGCTAATTATAATAAAAATAACAATAATGATGATGATGATGACGATGACGATAATGTTAATAACAATAATCATAAAGATGATGATAATGATAATAACAGTAATGACAAAGATAATGATAATGATGGCAATAGTAATAAAAGAAGATGATGAGTAGTCGTGGTAGTAGTTGTAGTAATAAGGATAAGATAATGATATCGAGAGTAACAGTGTCAATAGTAATAATGATAATAGTGGTAATGATAATGATAATGCTCATAACGATTATAATTATAATGAGGATAATAATAATAATGATAATGATAGTGATAATAGTAATAATAATAATTAGTAGTAGTAGTAGTAGTATCAATATTATAATAATGATAACAATGTTATCATTATTATTACTGATACTTTATCATCAATATTATTATCATTATTATTATCGTTATCAATATTATTATCATTACTAATATCATTAACATTATCAATTAACATTACCATACTTATAATGATAATCAGAAATAAGTAATACAACAAGAAGACAAGAAGACAAAGAGAAACGGTGGTAATGGCAATTCATCAGTATTTACAAATAAATTCTTTTTATGCATTAGCCATGTCACCATTCATTGAAGAAGTTATTCGAGGTGCTGCAGTGTCAGTGCAATATTTGTTAGTTAATCCTATGCGAACTAACAACCTAGTATATGCATTAATCATGTCTTCTTTATACAACCTATATTTTCAATTGACTTTACAGAGATTTATGAATGGTAAGCTGTAGTTATTTTTCCTTTTTCTGTGAATAGAGAGACAATATCTATACGCCCTTTGAGTAGGAAAGCCAAGGAAAATAGGGTTAAGGTAAGGACAATATTTACAGTGAGAGAGATAACAAAGTCTGTTCTGGCAACAAGGTTAACGTTAACTGCGCACAATACTCCCAATTGCTTGCTTAAAGGTGAAGAAGTGATGATAAGGATTTTGAGGCTACAAATGGGTACTTTTTGTTGACAATAGAAAAGGGATGAGGTATATTAACTGTCCAGTTTATATGATGCACGAACTGAAACAGTTTGAGCAGTCTGAGAATTCGTTATTTTAGGCAACGAACCTCACTCGCTTTCGTGCTGAACATCTCGACTCGTGAGAAAGGAAAGTGGAACCAGTACGATCTGGACAGAGATCCGCTTGCTTCCTATACGCCCCCGACGAGTCCTGGAAATGTAGTTTCGTACGTGAACTGCTCAATAAATAAATAGATAAGTGAAATGCTAAATGCTAAATAAATAGATAAATAAATAAAATAAATAAATAAGTGAAATGCGAATTGTTAAATAAATAAATAAATAAATGAATAAATAAATAAATAAATAAATAAAATAAATAAACGTTTAACAAGGGAGAACTGCACGTCTACGAAAGCGGAAGAGGAAGAAGCGACGTTTATATCGACATGAGCCTGTCTGTCCTTTGACGTTCGAAGCCGCAGCTAAAGCACGAGCGAACCCACGGAATCCCTCAACGCCAAACGAGAGGACACAGCCTACCCTGAACTCCGGCTTCCTTCGCTTCGCCGAAATCTCCTTGGTGAAGAAAGGGTTTGATCCTCTGGCAGTAATGCATTCATATCCTCATGTGCTGCATAATTTCTTAATCTTTTAAAGTTTCAAATGCCATGTAAATTGCGTGTGATTTTTAAAGATTTTATTTTGCTGGAATGTGTTTTTTTTCTCTCCATTGTAGATACTAACCCTCTCAATTCAAGTAGATCAGCAACAGAGCTATCAGTCTGGAAATGTAATCATCAGTTCTATAACCCTCAATAATAAGAATGAACTACTTGTAATATTAGTATAGCAGTAAGCGTAGTAATGGCAATAATAACGTCACAAGTTAATGGCATCACTACAGAGTTTGAAGTCAAAAGTCCATCGTTAACAGTATGTTGGTAAGACTTTCGGATTATGCTGCTTATAGATATCGACAGACACTTTCATAACATTAAAAACGTGTTAAAAATAAACGTTTGCGTGTCTTATATAACAATGTTATAAAGGGGTGGAACTCAACATGAGCCGTATCTGTTTACGAGAACTTAAAACCACAAGAAATCCAACGTTTTTTTATATGTAGTTTAGAAGATTAGTCGAGGACATTTCGTCCTAAACATTAACGCGGGGATATACCTGCTAAACGTCATAATACGTCCTTGGATTTTTTCAAGATATACTCAGGCACTTGTGGACGTGATTAAGAAGTCGACAACGAACGCCGAGCAGCACGTCACGAACACACGTATAAGACATACAATTATTGCGTTCCTTGCAAAGATGATGATGGCTGATTGGGAAATTCCCCATACTGGAGACACTTCATTGCTCACTTTAACGTCGTCAAAAACCTGCTGGGCAAGAGAAAATCATCATTATCATTATTCAGATAATCACATTTTTTGTTACTATCAATGTCATCATCGTTATCATTCTTCCTATTAATATTATAATAAAAACAATTATGAATATGATCATCATAATGATATTAAGCATGTTGGTGATGACGATAAAGGTGATAATGGCAATAATAATGAAAATGACAATGATTATATTAATGTTAATGATAATAATACCAGAAATTATAATAATGATAATAATTATGATAATAATACCGATAATAATCATAATGATAATGATGAGGAAAAAAATAATGCTAATGATAGTTACGATAACAAAAACAACACTGATAGTTATGATATTGAAAATAATGATGGTATAAATGGTAATGATGATAACACTGATAATGATAAAATAATAAAAATGATAATGGTAATAATAATGATCATTATAGTAATGACAATAATGGTAATAAAGATTATCCTGATCATGATAGTAATAATGATAGTAACAACAAAAATAATAGTAACGATAATGATAGTAATAATCATCATCATGAAAAAATCATAAGGATTATAATAATTATAGTCACATTAACAACATTAATAATAATACCAATAATGATACAATTAATAACCGTAATGTTGGCAACAATAATGACACACACACACACACACAGACACACACACACATATGTAAGGGACGGAATTCTTCATGTATATACAAAATATGTATTCTAACTTGATTTATAGCGGTGTTCATCTTGTCAGTATCAATTTTGATTTGGATAGCGTGGCTTTAATGGACTGAATGCTCGTGGGGTCGATTGAATTCTTTATATAACAGTCCATATGTTTAGTCTATATATGTTTAGTGTGTCAAGTATACAATGGCTATAGAAACATTTTAATCATCAGCATTTTATTCTATAAACAAATAATAATAAACAAGTGGCATATTATACAATGGCTATAGAAACATTTTAACCATCAGCATTTTATTCTATAAACAAATAATAATAAACAGGTGACATATTATAATGTAAATATTAGCAATATTTTTTTATAATTTAAACAAACAACATTCTCTACTAACTTAACTCATATCTAAGGTTCACTCAAAACCCTCCCTTTTCCTACTAATTACAAATCAATCATCATTTAACAGAAACAATAAAAATATATGTAAGGCGGATTCAAGACCCTCACACCCATTCTATCAGGATCTTTCCATGATTTTGCTGTGTAATGTATGTATATATACAGCTCATACTTGCGGGAGTCATGCTGAATAAATTGTGACTAAAACAACGAAGGGAGGAACAAGAAAACACTTTGTGTCCTGAAAAAGCAATGTAGCGAGAAGGCCTTAGGCATATTGTGTTGTCCTTCATCTCGTCCTTTTCTATCCAGGATATAATACAAAATAAAAAAGTCAATATCAGTCCACAATGTATTCATATACAGTACACACCCATACACGATGGTTTCCAATATGTATAGGCATGCAGCTATGCATCTGTAATGCAAATCCCTGTTATTCCATGGCTCTTCCCCTGATACTGAGTCTAATTAACCTTTAAGTACGTGATATCGAACCATTAACGGTTCACTGCGAAGGCCGAAGCAAAATCCAATTACGACCACCCAAGGCCTCGAGGCGCCTTTCGGAGGTCGAGAAACCTTGAGAGCGCGAGGGCAGTCTCCGAAGGCCGATGACCGCTCCCTTGGATTGCCCGCGGTCGTGACATACTTGCTGGTCCTTATCAGCTGTCTTATCTTATCAGAGCCACTCTTTTTCGGGATCGTTATAACGATATCGGCAAGACCTTGACGCTTTAAGAGAGAGGGAAAATGGTTTGCTACGGTCGGTAACAATAACCTGTGTTTCATGATTGAGACAGTCAGGTATTTTTAGGATATGACTGAACTTCTGAAGATTACTCTTACCTGAAGTTAATGCTATGATGCCTTTGTTTGTTTTGTTATCATTGCTGTTTTCGATCTGTCTGCACCTTGACGGACATTCCATTTTGATGATAGTAAAATCACAATAACAGGCGGTTTGCTTCTGAATCTGTGCAGGGACCAGATCCCAAATTAATTAGATTTGATATAGACATAATGAATTACAGATATATTTTTATACGATAAGGTTTACTACTTCTTTCGATTTGCCAACTTTTTAATAGGCTCTAAATTATGGTAAATAGTCGGGTCGGTATCAGACATGTAACAGTGTTTACACCGATTTCTAAAACAAAATTGTTTGTTAGAGTAATGATCTATTACAGGATCCTAGGCGAGTTAAGGTGTGTTGAACTCTTACCAAGGTGTAATTTCTCAAATAGAAAGATACAAATCTAGTTTTATCGTTTTCCCCTTTAACTAGATAATCTCTGGATTCACGTGTCTATGTCTGATACTCGCCGTTTTGATTTTGCATTATATCTTGTATAGAAAAATAGAGTACAAAGGCTAGGGAATAATCCAGGTTTCTTTTAACTTGACTAACTTCCCTTGAACAAATTTCCATCATGAAACTGCTCTTGTCGTTTCTGTCTATCAATCGGCTTTTCTACCGCCCTCTCACAGACAGCCCGCGCATGCGTGGACCCAAACGAGTGCTGCGGTTATGCATGTTTTCCCTGCTGCTTCCGGCTCTGCTGATCACCATTCCGCTTTACATGCGCATGGTGCTGTACCCGCCAAGTCAGTATCCAATGATGCCTACTGACCAGCGCCTTCTCAGCCGCCACGTATCCTCTGTATGGTGCCAGGTAAATTCTAGGAGCAGATTTAGAACCTTTTAAAAAAATCGTTTAGTGCAATCGAGAAAGATTCAAACGGATCCTCATTATTTTGGACCTAAAGTTTGTTTATTTTTCTTTCAAATTCCTAGATTCATGAATACTGGCTTTTCGTCTCTCGCACAGGCGCAGTTGACCCGCATGAACGGAAGCTTCACGGCTTTCCTCGCCCCGGAGACCCCCCACATCCTCAGCTCACCCCGGGTACATGCCATGGTCCACTCCATCACCCTGGGGGACGACGTGAAGGAGTACTGGGGCTTCCACCTCCTCAAGGGGTCCAAAGTCACCGTGTCCGCGTGCTCAAGGTGAGTCACTGAGGCAGTTCTTGTACTCTTCCTTGCCTCTAGTTTACTGTAATCATATTTCTGTAGTTTAATTGCCATTGTCATTAATATAATCGTTATTATCATTGTTATTGTTATTATAATAATTTTTATTGTCATTATTGTTATTATTATTATTACTGTTATTATTGTTAATGTTATCATTATTTTTATTATTATCATCATTATTAATATTATTGTTATCATCATCATTAATATTATTGTTATTATTTTTGTTAGTATATTATTATTATTATCACTATCACTTTTATCATCTCTCTTTCTCTCTCTTGCCCTCGCTTTCGCTCTCTCTCTTTCTTGGCAAATACTCATGGAATATCTATGATAGTTAATTGTTCTGTGCTTGCTTCGAAACAGCAGCCGGATTCGAAGCATTTCAATAGATATCACTATTTAAGAAAGAAATATGATGAGAATGTTTTATATGTAATAATAAGTTGAGGGTTCAAAAGGACAGGGAATCTCTCCGTTTACGTAGTTTCCGTCCATTAATTTCAAGATTTTCACGGCGTCCTCCTTCCGCCCAGGTATGACGGGGCGCAGCTGATGTTACTCCGGGGCGTCGAAAACCTCCGTCGGTGTGCATGGATTGGCGAGGAAGACTCCATGGAAGAGGAAGAGGAACTGGAAAATGAGCATGTGCCAGAGAATAAGGAAGAGGTAAAAGGAGAAGAAGGGGAATTGGAAGAAGTTGAGGAGGGTGAGGAAAAGGAGGCAGATCAAGGAAATAGCATGAAGGCAAAAGGGCCAGACGTGATCGCTCTCCCGACGCCAGAAAAGAGAGTTCCTGAAGCCGCTGAAGAAGAGGATGGTCAGCCCGAGATCGCGGAGGAAGTGCAGCGGGACCCGGCGAACGACAGCGAGCAAACGAATGGCGACGAAGCGGATGAGACGTTGCGAGCAAGTGTGGATGAAACACATTCCAGGGGCCATGCGGACGCGTCAGAGGAGAGGCGACAGGACCTGCAGCAACTCTTGAGACAGGCACTGAGCATGAGCAAAGACAAGAAAGAAATCTTACGGATTCTTCATTCGGTGGGACGTGAAAGGGAGCAGCCTCTTCCTCAAAGGATCCAGCAGATCCTTGGGGTGACGCCCACAAGCAGCCCTAGCCGGCAACGGAAATTTCAGGCGCAATTGTCTTCACTCAGACAAGAAAGAGCTATTGATATGGAAGATGACGACAACGCACACGAGGTTTTTGACTGGGATGAGCCTTCTCGGCCGACCGAAGTTACTGTGAAGAAGCCATCGGAAGACATCGAAAAAATCGTGGGCGGCCAAATTTTCCTTCCCGAGGGACTCAAGTTCGAGAGAGGAAAGTTCAACCAAACGACCGCCAACGACGGCTCTGACGAGGAGAACGTGTCTTCCTACTCGAGCAGCGAAGAGGCGCTGGCCAGCTGCGAAGGCGTCATCATGTCCCTCCCGTTAGTGTCGTACCGCGGGTGCAGTATTCGCTGGACCGAAATCAATAAGTTCACTTACGACATCCCCGTCACTGGGACATACTACTTCGTATTTTCTAGCGAGAATGAGATAAATGAAAACAAATTCTTCTTCAACCTAACGTTTGAAAGAATGGTTTACGACACGACGAAATCCGCGACCGTGTGCGAGAACAAAACGGAGTGCCTCGTGCCCTTCTCCTTCTGGTCGAACGAGCGTGCCGTGGTGGAGGTGCCAGAGGAAAGCACTTGGGATCATTCCTACGTCATGGATACCACGTGTGAGCCGCGTGTGGCCGTTTACCTGACTTTCATCCTTCTCGTGCCAGTTGTAATACTTATCTGTGCCTTCCAATAGCTTTTTTACATTCTTTTGTCATCTCAGTTATGTCTTCCATTTGAGTGCCTTCACAGTGTCTTAGCATAAATTGGTGGTTCTCATGTGCCTTCAGTGCACGAGTCTTGTATATGTAAGCTACTTTTTCCACTTTAGTTTATCTTGGTCTTAAACTGTATCAGGCAATGAAAGTGTAGTTGATGTACCCGTTATTTTTAAGGTTTCTTTTCCCATTTCAGCAACAATATTTTTTTTATCCAGTGTTTCCAAATGATCTCATTCGACCATGATTCGTCAATCTTTTTATCTTCTCCATCGAAAGTTGAATAATTTAAAGGACTGCAATAGAAGAATAGTTTCAGAGGGAATGGGATAATGTTGCTAGACTGAAGCACATAAAGGATGAATACTCATTTTACCCTTGAGCAACATGCAAATCAGTCTCGCGTAAAAATGTGTAGAATGTGTTAATTAAGGAACAATTGTACCGATATGAAAAGGTTTCCTCTTGGGGATTGTGTTATTGTTTGTGATTTGTCGACTATTTTTTTCTTATATGTAAAAAGGCTGTGCGAATTTTGATATATGTTTCTGTAGATCCAATGTATAAGCAGGTGATAGATGTTATTTTATTGATATTCATGCTTCCTTATCTGAACACATCCTTTGAAGTTATTCACTTGGAAAACACTGTTCCTTTACTAGGAAACGCTTAAGCCAACTGTGCTAAGCTAATAATTTGTGTTCGATCGTGTAGGTATGGTCAGTACTGTGGATTCATGGATGAAAACAGTTTCTAGTCTCTGTAAATATAAAGATTTTTTCACTACAGACTGTACAGCGCTTATATCAAATAACGGAGCACTAAAGTGGTGACTGGTGTCAACGCCAGTTCTGCTATTTACTGCAACAGGAACAATGTAGTCTAATTATTCACATCACACACACACGTGCGCGCATATATATATACACACGTATACACACAAACACACACGTATACACACACATACGTATACACACACATACACACACGTATACACACACATACACACACGTACACACACACACACACACACATACGTATACACACACATACACACACGTATACACACACTCGATGCACTTGACAATACACAATATACAGTAAAGTAGTCTTTTAATGTCCATGTGAATATGTAAATGTTTGTTCACTGAGCTTCCTTTGCAAGATAAGTTTTCCGTTTTAAGGAGAAACGCCAATTTTTCTATCTATTTCATGTGCCTTATTATCCTTTTTATAAACAATGATATATACAGTATATACACTAAATATAAGACTATTTAGAATAGAATGAAGTACGATTAAATCGCGTTTTATTTCATCAGCATTTTCCCCTAACATCGGAACTATCAGCAACTAAAGCTTTATATCTATGAATACAAGAGAGAGGGGGAGAGGGAGTGAGAGACCCCTCCCCCAATTCCTTGCTTGATTGAGACTCTTAGAACACAGAGACTGAGGCCCGATGTGCGGGATCACCCCAACCTTGAACCTCAACCCTCGTCTCAACTAATTTTGCATAGTCTTTTCTTCTCCACCTTTCCTTTTCCTTTTCTTCTGTCCACTTCTTAAAGTATAAGAGCCGATCTGAAAAGAGGAAAGGCTGGATTTGTGTCCTGAACGGCCCAGGGGCCGGATTCTCAAACGCGTTAAGGCGCCGTATCTCCTTAAGGCGCCTTAACTTACGGCCAGCGATCTTACGGCCCATGCACAGAGCAAGGGAACCGCCATATTGGTGCGAGTGAAGGCGCCCTCGGTTAAGGCAGAGGGAGAGCAGCCTTAGCGAGTTACGGCCAAGCATAAATGACATTTATCAGCCCTAGAACAATTAATACATTACAATTTGTATTTTACTCAATTATACTGTCATTAGGTGTACATAAACTAATTGTGGACTACTAGATAAAGGAACAAGTGTAGTATTCCAACATAACTGTGATTTGCTTTTCCCGATAGATGCAACCACACACCGTTTTTTGAGTGAATAGAATAATTTTGTAATAGCTTTCGTCGTGTTCCGAGAGAAACTAGCGCTCATTTCCTTCGCAAACGAAGTATAACTACGATATCAGTCCCGATAACCGGGGAGGGCATGATGCATATCAGTTAATTTGGGGGATAATTTCGAGAAATATCGGTAGAATATTAACAAGCATAGTATACTGGTACATTTCTTTTGCCACGTGATGACCTATTCCATATCTGTTTGGTTCTACTGAGTGTCTATGTTCACATCACGCTCACGCGCGAATCTAATTGGCTCACATGATTTCCCTTGCCTACGTCATCCGCTACAAATTCGTCAGATTTTTCGTCACTCTTAACGACTTTGTCATTTGACGCTGCGTTCATAAGGGAATCGTGCATTACCCTCTGTAACACCTTTATTACCAATTTGCGCAGAAAATGGTATAGAGGCAAATTCTTAGAATGATGTGTACTACTACTGGGTAAGCTCAGATTCTTTAAATTAGGTGTGGGGTTGCATTTTCAATAATACCAATTTTGTTGAAAAGTTCAATCATGCCACAGGCTGGACACAGCGTTGTGTTTACGAAATCAGCTGATTGGCATTTACGGCTTGTGATTGGTCAAAATACCCTAAGAGCCGCCTGAAACGGCAGCTGTGATTGGCCACCGAAGATCCGACACCTTAAGTGATTTGCGGAGCTGCGGGACTTAAGGCAGGGATAAGGCGCCTTAAAAAACGTTTGTGCATACGAAGCTAAGTCCGAGATACGGCGCCTTTGACAGGCCTTAACTTAGGTCGCCGCAGGACGGTTAAGGCCTCCAGCGCGCCTTAACTTAAGGCTCTTTTGAGAATCCGGCCCCTGTATTCCATTCTCTTCCCTCTGAAGCCTTTTTCACTACCATACCAACTTAGAGAGAGAGAGAGAGAGAGAGACAGAGAGAGAGACAGAGAGAGAGAGAGAGAGAGAGAGAGAGAGAGAGAGAGAGCAAAGGATAGAGAGATAGAGAAAGGGATAGAGGAGATAGGGAGAGAAAAGAGAGGAGAGAAGGAAAGAAGGAGAGAGAGGAGAGAGAGAGAGAGAGAGAGAGAGAGAGAGAGAGAGAGAGAGAGAGAGAGAGAGAGAGAAGAAGGAGAAGGAAAGCCGAAGGAATATGAAAGGGCGAGATGCAGCTGAAGCAGAGGGGGGCGTGTGCTGGGAGGGGGGGAGGGAAGGGCGTTGGGGGATATGAATAGAAGGGACGGGAGTAGAGATTGGGGCTGGATGAGGTGTAGGTAAGTTATTGTGACTGGATAGTTTTGAATGTCTTCGAGACTTTCGGAAGGAGAGCTGGCTAGGGTTTTCTTAAAAGGGGGGGAGAATAAGGTACAGACGTTTGAGGGGTGGAAGGAGAGGTTGATGGAGGAAAGGATGGGGTAGGATATGGGCACGAGCGTTTACCTTGTCTTGTGCAATGAGTTGGGCGTGGAGGAAGAGGGACATAGGTATCGGGGAAGTACTGATGAAGAGTATATGAGTATGCAATAGTGGTGGGGATTGGGGTTTCTGGATATAAATAAGCTCGACAAGAATTTGTTCCGAGGATGCGGTGCCTTTCGTTATTTTAGCCTCTTCCTATGCCTCATGTTATGGTCAATCGAATTCTCTCACTGGTTTTGGTTGTCAGACAGAATTACTATCGTCCTTCTGGCTTTCTCGTGCCCTATATACACTGCTTCATGAGTGCGGCACGCGCTATGAATTGTCTGCTCTATCATCTCTTCTTTCGCCTGACTTCCTCTCTAAGTCCTTCTACGTCATAACCTCCTAGGCTCCATGGCTACCCGTCTCTCGGGTCTCCCTGCCCCGGTTGTTATTCGAATCTCATTTGCATTATCCCTTTCTTACATTATACCCGCGGTGCTCCGTGTATATCCTTCTTTCATGTCGTCCTCTCTCGCTTGCTAGTCTTGCGTCAGTCCCCCATCTCTGTTACTAGTCTTCGCAACTCATCTCGTCTCCCACCTTACATTTCGCTCTGGAGCTATCTCCCATTTCGCACCTAAATGCACTGGATCACATTCACAGAATTACTCATCGACCTGACTCGCACACTCTTAGCTGCTGCGATTTCTCAACTACTAGTCGGTAATCTCCTGATATCTACTGAGTGCACGCTCCTCCTTTCTTCCTCATGCTTCGTAGACTCTTGCCTGTACCAATCCGTGCTCTCGTCCATTAATTTACTACTCGCCTACGCCCATGTTTTCCCCCCTCCGCTTTGCGTTCCTCAGTTTAGCTGCGTCCTGTGCCTGTTCTGTCGTGGAGAGGGAGAGGGCTAGACAGTGATTATGAGGAAGAGATACCTAGGAGGAGAAGATGTAAAAACATCTTCGGGGCATAAGAGCGGGCGAACGCAAGACATTGTTGGAGTAAGGACTTCTGTTTCTGTCCTAGCGTTGAGGCGAGGCCAGTGTGAATTCCATGATCGAATTGTCACCTCAGATCATTAACTTGAGGTGAGGTCAGTTCCTAAAATACATTTTATGGGAGCCGCCCAAATTTTAAGCACCCGCGAATCGGCTCAGCAAGATCAGTTCGCAATTGATTAATCTAGAGTGATAACTGCATAGCTTGACACTGTGGCAAGGCGGGAACCGTGAGGAAGGACTAATAGCTAATTTATATATATATTATATTTATTATAATTCATATTTAATAATATATAATATAATAATATGATATATACATATAGTATATATATATTATATATTACTATATATATATATTATATATATATATATATAATTAGACATTATTTAGTATTATATATATTCGTATATATGTATAGTATTACTAATATATATAATATTATATATAATAGTTAATTATATATATAATGCTATGTATATGAATATTTTATAAATATATTATATATATTTATTATATATATATCATATATACTATGTTACCTCATATATACACTTATTAGTTTATATATATACTTATATATATATTTATATATATATTCTTATACATATAATATATATATAATCTATCATAATAAATAGTTATTCAATACATACATTAAGTTATATATATTTATATATATATTACTATACGAATATATATATGATATAATATATATTATATATGATATACTATAATATATATATATATGTATATGCATATGTACTATGTATATGTACTTGTATACATATATACTATCATATTTTTATTATACACTAATTATATTATATATATATTTATTAATAATATATATATATTATATTAT